ATCCTTGCCCTTCATTACAATTGCTACAAAGTTTCTTTCAAAACATTGTATTGAAAGGGTACTTGACACAGAGATGAATGGCTATCACTGTTTCAATTTTACAGAGAAAACTTTCTTACGTCACGAAGTGTAGATCCTAAGCAACCATCACATTTTCACTTTGTTCCAGCATTGAAGCTTTCCCAAGGGGAGGTGCATGACCTTTCAGGAGAGGTGGAAATATTCTCAGAGGAGGTGCAAAACGATCTCAGGGGAGGTGCGCACCTATCCACACCTCCCCTCAAAATCCGGCCTTGATGCAAATAAATCACCAAGCTAGAAAGAGCATACTAAAATAAGTAAATTATTGCAAAGTTTGGTTGCGAAATGTTGTAAAATACGGAAAATATAGCCTTGCAAAATTTGCAAATTTTGTATACTTTTGTATTGCATGCGAAAATTGCAATACAAAAGTATACAAAATTTGCAAACTTTGGAAGGCTATATTTTCTACATATTTTACAACATTTCGCAACCAAACTGTGCACTGTTACTAATTTTAATATGCCCTTCCCGGGTATATACTTTTTTTGCTAAGATAAAAAATTAGTCTATAATGGGAATTGTCTATTGGTCCCCATTATCTATTTTTGTTTCTCTAAATAAAGAGCTAGAGTTTTTGTTTCTCTAAATAAAGATAAAAAGCTAGAGGGGGACCAAAATTTATGTTCTTGTTTTGCCTGGGGGGGGGCTTTGAAAATTTTACTTGTCTCCATTTTACAAAGGAATGCAGTGCGTTTGTGAGGTTCTGGAAAGTTGCTTACGTACCCACACTGTTGGCAGGGAAGCCAAGTGATGAATTGTTCAATTGTGTGGAAAAACCATCAAGAAATGCCGGGGACACTCCTGAATCTATCTATTATGATAGGAAAGAAAGTTTGGAAAAGGAAGGTAAGTTTGGCATGTCCGTTGGTTCAACGCATATCCGGCGCCGCTGTCGGGGAGGCGTTCGGTCCAAGGGTCAGACGTTTGGTCTGGCAGTCTTCATTAAGGTGATTCATCAGTAATTGTTCTGGAAATGAGAATTCGCTGAAACTTCCCAGAGGTGAAGTTCATGAATTATTATATGCTCTTAGTAAAAACAGAAAAAAAAGTTCGGGGTCACCGAACTCGTTTAGAAGATATGACATAGAGGATATTATACCCTTTTGCGAGTTACAGGAACAATCGAAATTGCTCAACCGTTATTGATTTTTTTTACAAGGACACTATTAGAAATGTCTATCTAGTCATTATATGCTTGAAAACATGGTATTTTAACGAATCAAAAACCACTGACGTGCATTGTCGTGGTGAAAAGATATCTTTCAATCTTCTCAGACATGTTATTTTTGGAAGCATGAGCGAGAAATGTTAAATATTTTCAGTTGTAGAAGTTACTTTTCTCTTATTTTCTGATATAACATGTGAAACGTACCGAAGAAAAAGTAGAAAAGTAGGGTCACGAACCTTCTTGAAGAAATACAAGGGCTAAACATGAAACATGATGTAGTTTAGAATGTTAGTTCAAAAGCCTAGCCAGATCGAGTTGTGTCATTCTACGCCTAATCAATGCAGAGTGTTTTCTGTTAGCCCTTTCTCTTTTTTATCACTTCAAATTGCAGTTTGACTACACATATTTATCATTTATAGACCCGGAGCGAGGGGGATTCGGCGGAATATTACTCGAAGTGATGATATTGCCCCGAGAGAAATATCATCACTGAGGGTAATGTTTCGACGAATCCCCCGAGCGGAAGGTCTATAAAAGATATATTATACCGAAAGTTAAAGATCCCACTAAGTTCAGAATAAACTTTAAAACTATAAGGCGAATACAAGTTTTAATTTCTTATATTCTTATTCCTATGTTTTTGACGTTTTCTCTTTAAAATATTTGAGCATGTATTCTTTGCCTTTGGTTCATTGAAGGTAACATACGTCTTGAAAATCTTTTGTTAAATCATGGATTGTAAAATAACTGGATAGGAAACTTCCTAAGGTCACAGTCAAAACCTAGTTGCAATCTATGACGTCACGTGTATTACCAAAGTTCTCGGCATTCTTGTTGTTTCGCTATATTTTCCGCTTTAAAAGAGTAATATTGAAGCATAAACTGGTCAAATTGTTTTAAAAATATGCCTAAGCCACGACAAAGTATTCAAGGTAAATGTTTTTCGTCTTTGTTCTGTATTTTTTTACATTTGTAGCTACGAAATTGGCGTCGCCAATTTTAACGAAATTTGTGATGCATTTTTCACTGTTCAGTTTTTGAAATATTTGCTAAAATTGAATGGAAATACTTAGAGATTTCATCGTAGAATGGCATAGTGACATTTATTTGCTCTTTGACTAAAATGTTTAGCTGTATTATCGCTAAACATGCCGTTTTTGAGAATTTGGTTTGCAACTAGGTTTCAACGTCATCAGCCCATTGAAAACATTAGGTTACGACAACTAGTTTCCTATCCATGTATTTTATTATCCATGGTTAATTTAAATCAATAAATCTTCGGTACGAAATTACAAACAACAGCTCGCGAACGCCATATTGTTTCACAGCGTGGTGTCCACGCGTCACGCGTGAGCGTGAGATACTATAATATCCCACGGTGGATTTACTGTGGAATATTATAGCATCTCACGCTGCATTGCGAAATCATTAATTTGAGTGACATACCGCAAAAAATCGCATTGTCACGTGGTGCAAATTATGTTTTTTATTGGACAATTCGAATTTCAGGTATAATATTAGCTAGAATTTGTCATTCGATACTCGCAGTAAAAGTGGGCAATGCAAAACTGATGAATTACCTTAATTAAGTCAGCCAGTCATTCGCTCGGTCAGTGAGCCAATCGATCGGTTGGTTAGTAGTAGGTCGGTAATTTAGTCTCTCAATCTGTCTGTCAGTCTGATTACTACTTTTTCTTGGAGATTTTCTGTAGTTAGACGGCAGCAGTTACCATGGCAACATTTCAGTGACACTCTCAGGTATTCTGTGTCAATCATGGACAGAGCAATGTCCTCATTGTCATTCTATGAACAATACATATCCAGAGCTAAATAACACTGAGAATTATTGTCGAGACCCTCAGAACTCACGACAACAACCTTGGTGGTTTACTACAGATAGGAACAAGAGATGGGAGTACTGTGATATCCCTAAATGCATACCAGGTATAGAGAAATATTGTACTGTGAAATCATTGTATACATCGGGCTTCGGTGGCGCAATCGCCTGATGAAGCGTCTTTGATCTCAGAGATCGTGGGTTCGATTCTCGCTGCGGGCTCGTGATGCTTATGTGAAAAGAATCAGTCAACGCTCCACCTAGTCTCCCTCGCAGACGTTCTTATAGCTCTAACCCTCGCTAACTAACGTCTGCTGAAACGAGCTGCACATTCCATTCCCTTTGTTTTAGGAGCCAATCATCTGGTAGTGTTCAAATGAGTTAGAGCCCATTGGAAGCCTTCTTACTGCGAGATTAGGGTTAGCTACTGGGGAAAACCCTTCTTTTTGGTTTGAAATTTGTTTACTTGCGTGGAGATATTTTGGAAACTATGGCCTTGAACTTCATGATATTTACGTAGAATAATATTGTGATAATCTTCTGGACGAGTGTTCTCAAACAACCGGTGAATATAAAATGCAAGAGCTATGCAATAAGCGAAATTTTAAATTTTGTTGACAATTACTACTGAAGCAATCGGGAAACTCGAGAACAAGTATATCAGGATAATGTCCAAATGTTGTTATTAAATACTTCCTATATGCCATGGCTTCGACGAAAAATTCTAAAAGATTAAGCCCTCGTTGTCATGTAGAAAAGTATAGCGAAGTTAGATGTATAAAGGTTTCGAAGTTTGGGCGAATTGGAAATTCATCTCGGCGCATTTAAAAGTTTCTCGGGTTTTTAATATATTTTTTTGTGTTGTGTTTACATTCAGAAGTCAGAAGTGGTTGCTCAAACAGCAAATTAGTTTATTTTGAAACTAATATTTCGCTTTCTAAGCCACAGTATTATATCAAATTTTCTGTATTCTGAGTTTTGTTGTCTTAAAGATAAACATCTGTCTGGGCTAGATTCGTCTTCCGATATTTTAACATTTTAAAATAAAATTTTTTACCCAGTTTCAACCTTCCAAGCTCTACTTTTAGCTTCCATTATGTCTTCCACTGGTTGCAATTTTAACATTTTTCAAATAGATTCATACAGTATAATGCCATCATCTTCAGTACCGCATCTGATCATTAATGGTGCATTTTATTACCTGGACCAGTATCAATATCTTTAAATTCAATTTATGTGCAATTTTGACCAAAATTCAAGCGACGACTGCTTTTAAAATATAAAAATATTTATGTACTATTTATTCCGCCCCCAAATCACTTTCCAAAATATAGAAGGTTCGCTGTGATTGGTCGATCGAAGGGAATGGAATGTGCAGCTCGTTTCAGCAGACGTTAGTTAGCGCGGATTAGAGCTGTAGGAACGTCTGCGAGAGAGACCACGCTCCACCGAAAGTCGTGGGTTTTCTTCGGGTACTTCGGTTTCCTGACCCTAGCTGTGCTTCATGGTCAATCATGAGTCATAACGGAGGCACCCTTAGAAAGGCTTCGACTTGATCAGGTTGACCTGCGTCCTTCGTAATTCAGCTTAGCTCTAGTCTGCAAATAAGGATGATTAGCACATCCACACTTATTTTACAAATAAAAAATAAAAGTAAATTACAGTTCAGGCACTTTGATCGTGTTGGCCGGAGACTCAAACAAGTAATTATTTTTATGTGGCCTTAAAGGCTACTTTCATGCAAGACCGAACGAAATCGGAATTCCAATTTAGATTTTCAAACAAATTTTCCGTAGATGGTCCATTTTACAGCTTACAATCAATCTCGCAACTTTATTTTAAAGTATTTCTAAAACGCCAATGCTGATCCACATACAGTGCAACGATAGTTGAGATTTGATAATATCAGTGCTTCAGCAACTGGCTTTATAATAAAATGGTGTCTTTATATAGTATTAACAAAATAAAAAGCTCGTGTGGCCGTGTGTGACTACAATACGTCTTTGTCTTTCCTACAGTTGATGGTAGTTATGGCAACTGGTCATTAAACGGTACATGTTCTTTAACTTGTGGTGAAGGTTTTGAAACATGGTCACGAGGATGTAACAACCCTAAGCCAAAGTATGGTGGAAGAAACTGCAGTCATCTAGGAGAACCTGTTGAGTACGGACCATGTACTAAAAATGTTTGCATTGGTAAACACACTATCTCTTTACCATTAACCTTCGAATAAAGACCAAGAAATATAAGCCCAAGGCTTTTTGTTAACAACTTAACTGAAGTAATCTTTCTTATTTCTATGATGGGGCATAGCTCTACTGATCAGTTTCAAGCTGTTTTATGGGGAAAATTAAATCCATATCATTCTTTTAAATGTTTAATTTCACAGTTAACGGTGGCTACAGTAGCTGGAATTCGAACAGTCAATGTAACGTTACATGTGGACAAGGTGAAGAAATATGGCGACGTTCATGTAACAATTCTACTCCGAAGAATGGAAGTCGAAATTGCACTATGTTGGAAAGAATTTTGAAGATCGAATTTGTAGAAGACAACCTTGTCTTCTTCGCCTTAATCCTTATGGGAGTTGGTTTATATTGTTGATGACCAAGTCTTCATTGACATTGCCGTTGTATTTACTAATATACAAGTACAAACCATGGGGGTGATAGTACGTTTATTAATTACAACACGTACTATGGTAACCTCCTCCCCCCCCCCCCCCCATTAACTTGCATGTACATGTACGTGAGAGTTTAACCTGTGAATCGTTTTAGTTAATGGTAACTATAGCAACTGGACTACATCGTCAGCATGCAGTAACGTGTGGTGTGGGGTACTAGATGTGGTTCCGAACATGCGATAATCCACCTCCAAATATGGAGCGGAAGACTGTTCCAAATATGGTAACTTCAGAGACAGTAGGCCTTGCCACACGGAGCCTTGTCCAGATTAGTCATTGAAATGTGTGAGTTGTTTACGGTCATCCATAATCACCAAAGTTTCACCAGATCTGACAAAAAGTGTGATATTGGGTCCTAGGTCCTTATGTCCTGTCCCGTTTACACTTTTTTCTTTTCATGCATGTGAACGAGTGGATATATGAATTATGAATGTTCAGATGAGGGCACATCTACTCCGAGCGTAATAGACATTGAGAACTCATCAACTCATTCACATGAATCAGAAGAAGAAAATCACAGTAGAATCGCAGAAAAAATTGCATGTGTAAACAGGCCTTTAGTAACATTTGCCTTAGAAAGAAGATTGAGGAACATTTTACCACATTATAACCAGCCACTCCACCCAACATTACCAACACTACTACCACCGTCACCGCCACCACTACCACCATCACCAGTATCACCACCACTATCACCACCACAACCACTACCAACAACACCATCACCATCACCAAGCCCGTGTTTTGTAGTTTTGTCAGAGGGTCGAAGAAAAAACCGAAAGCACAGAAGCAAACAATCAAACTCTACTTGCATGAGTTTTAAAGTGCCTATATCACTCATGGGATTTTTATGGATTTGAAAAGAGCACAAAAAGTTAGTATAGAAAGTCTAGATCCTTTTTTGATATAAAACAATAGTTTCTGAGATATCGGGCCTCAAACAGGGCATTTTTCGCCTTTTTTAAAAAAAAGGTGTGTTGCTCGGGGGACTGGGACTCACGAACCTAATTTGCAAGCACGCCGTCTTTCCTAATAAAAAAACATATAATTTCTCTGGTGGTATCCTTTGTATTTTTCGAAATAATGCCGGAACGCTGCGTTGTCTATGGCTGTAACAACACAGCAAGTTCGACAAAAGGTATATCTTTATACCGTATACCTTATTGGGACGATAGCAGGCAAATTGCGAGAAGCAGACGAAAGAAATGGGAGGACTTCATTCGGCGGAAAAGAGACAAATGGCTGCCAAGTGTTAGTTCAGTTGTGTGCTCTGAACACTTCGCGCAAGAATGTTTTGAGTACGGTTCGAGCACTGTAGAGAAGTACAAGATCCCGAAGCTTAAGCGAGATGAAGTTGGAGTTACTGCTGTGCCTTCTCTGCTGCCTAAAGCGACGTCTTTGGATAGTGAACAAAGTATGCGCATACAAAACAGAGGGAAGCTGTGTATTTATATCTCGTGTTTGTTTGAATCTAGGTATTCAAACCGTGTGCGTTTCCATCCCTGGCTTTGTTTTATATTTATATATTTTATTACTTTTGATAGTTTGTATTTAAATCTAAGATATAAAATCTTGCGAATTTATAGATAGCATTTGCGGAAGGACCCCCAACTGTTGAAGAACCTCAGTCTTCGATGTCAACAAACGTGAGTATTTTGTATTTTGAAACGTATAATTCTCTTGGTGTATTTACAACTAAATAATATCTACATTTATAGATTACATTTGAGGAAGGACTTTCAACTGGTGAGGAACCCGGACCTTCAACCTCGAAAAAAATAAAAGAGGCGAGTGCTTTGGACTTTGGAACAGACTTGTATCATATTGCATGCAATAACGTGTGACTTTATTTCAAGGCAAATTTCAAGGCAAATTTCAGTGTTCATGCAAACCCATATACTAATGACAGTTTCTTGTGTTGTAAACATACAAAAGGGCTAATTCAAGAATGTATTTTTGTCTTTTATAGCATGGGGAATGTAGCAATTGTAAAGCTTTGTTGCTAAAAAATAAGAGGCTCAAGAGTGATTGGCTGTCTGCAAAAAACAAGCTTGAAGTTTGCAGAATGCAAATTGCAAAAAATTCAGGTAAGTCATATGTACTGATTTCTTTTGGCCTTACATTACTGCAATTTCATACCCAGAGCAATAGGATCAACCTACACTGTAGCCTCTGGGTATAAGATTGCACATACTGTAGAGTTCATAAATCATGTAGTGACCCAGCACCAATAATTAACCATAGTAACAAACTTTTTATGATCGTGAAAAAACACAGGAGAAGAAACTCATCCCAGTACAGCGTCAAGATGTGATCTCACAACAATCGTAAGTGATGATGAACAGTGCAGCTCAGACATTGGAATACCTCCATCAGATGATTTCCATGAAGAGGATTGCTATGATGAAGAAACACCAGAAGAATCAACAGAGACTGAGACAGATGATGAGACAAATCCGCAACATAAAAGGTGAATGGACAACCCTGATAATAAATGTAAACATAATGCATATGAAACATTCCACAAAAATGACTGGACATGAAAGACTATGTACCATATTGATGAGTAGAAAGATCAGTATGTGGATGCACAACTTTATAACAGACTATATATTCTGCAAGAGTAGGTGACACAA